CCACCCCCACGTACCCATTACAGCTGCCTGCCTGTGCTACCCCTCCCCCCATCCTACCTCCCCCCTCTACCTCCACCCCCCTCAGTCTCTGTTTAGCACAAGCCCGGGTCGCTGGCAGGAGTTCGGACACGTTGTTTACAGCAGCATCAGGTGTGGTGGGTCAGCCGCTGCCTTAGGTCACCCCTCTGCCTCCCTGTACCCGATACGACAGGTCATCATAGGTCACAGCTCCCGTTATTGCGACCAGATTTTACGGAAATTACCATATGATTTTCTAGAGCTGATAAAAAAAAAATGTCGGCAATTATACATATACGTGAAATGTACGTATGGATGTCATGAATATGGTTTATGTAGAGCGGGGATAATAATTCATGTATACGTATATCTAGACGTAGATGTACTGTATGTTTATGTTTATGTATGTATGTATGTATATATGTGTGTGTGGGGGGGGCGTGTGCTTGTGCTTGCGCGTGTGCTTGTGCGTGCGCGTGTGCTTGTGCTTGCGCGTGTGCTTGTGCTTGCGCGTGTGCTTGTGCGTGCGCGTGTGCTTGTGCGTGCGCGTGTGCTTGTGCGTGTGTGCCTGCGTGCGTGCCAGCCTGCCAACCTGCCTGCCTGTCTGTCTGTCTCTCTGTGTGCCTCCCTACCTGCCTGTGTAACTGGTTACAATGGCCTAGACCATCCTGGCAAAACGAGCACCTGTAGCCACAGCTGATATCATGAATGCGAACATACAGCGAATTTCTTATATACCCGAACACGCACGAGTAATCACAACAAACAAACAAACAAACAAACACACACACACAGACACACATTATATATATATATATATATATATATATATATATATATATATATATATATATATATACACACACATTTATAAAACATTCTCTCTCCGCGATCCTTCAGTCCTTCATCATCAACTCCTTCATCGGCCCGAGGAAGACCAGCCAGCGACGCCCCCTCCCCCCCTCTACGACGCCCCCCACCCACCCTATCCACGACCCCCGCAAAAGCCAACCGCTGACCCTCTCTCGGCTCTCATCCCTCGCCGAGTCCTTTATGACGCCGACCCCCTTTTCTCTGTTTCCCTCGCCCGCCTCCACAATGCTGACGAGGAGGAGAAGAGGAGAAGGAGAAGAGGAGGAAGAGGAGGAGGTGGAGGTGGAGGAGGAAGAGGAGGAGGAGAAGGAGAAGGAATAGAAGGAGGAGGAGAAGGAGTAGAAGGGTGGGAGGAGGAAGAGGAGGAAGAGGAGGAAGAGGAGGAAGAGGAGGAAGAGGAGGAGGAGGAGGAGGAGGAGGAGGAGAAGAAGAAGGAGAAGGAGAAGGAGAAGGAGAAGGAGAAGGAGAAGGAGAAGGAGAAGAAGGAGAAGGAGAAGGAGAAGGAGAAGGAGAAGGAGAAGGAGAAGAAGGAGAAGGAGAAGGAGAAGGAGAAGGAGAAGGAGAAGGAGAAGGAGAAGGAGAAGGAGAAGGAGAAGGAGAAGGAGAAGGAGAAGAAGGAGAAGGAAGAGGATGACGAAGGAAGAGGAGGGGGGGGCTAGGAGGAGGGAAGAAGTGTGGTCAGGAGCCCCATAACGCGCCTTCTCTTCCCCTTCCCCCACCCCTCGTCCTTTTCTCCTCGCTCCTCATCTCTCTCTCTCCCTCTCCCTCCCTCTCTCCTACCCCTAGCCCTCCCCCTTCCCCTTTCCCCCTCCCCCAATCCATCTACCCCCAGCCCTTCCCCTGCCCCCTCCCCCTACCAATCCGTCACCTCCTTTGCTATCTCCCCTGACCGCCGACACCCCCACCCCTGCCTCCTACCTACCCCCGGGGCGCCGCCACTGATACCAGATCAAAATGTCCCCCATACAGGAAATCCACGCTGTCTGGGAACGACGCTGTCTGGGGAACCACCTGCAGGGTCACGCGTGGCCTCCCAGGGCTCTTTAAAGGAAGGGGGAGGAAGGGCAAGCGAGAGGGGTGGGGGGGGGGGGGAGAGGCTAGGGAGGTGGGTATGGAGAGGGAGAGGAAGGGAGAAGAAGGGAAAGAGAGGGGGTGAGGCAAGGGAAGTGGGTAGGGAAGGGGAGAGGAAGGGAAAGAGAGGGGTGGGGGGAGAGGCCAGGGAGGTAGGTAAGGGAGGGGAGAGGAAGGGAAAGAGAGGGGTGGGGGGAAAGGCTAGGGAGGTGGGTAAGGAAGGGAAAAGAAGGGGAGAGGAATGGAAAGAGAGGGGTGGGGGTGGGGGAAGGCTAGGGAGGTAGGTAAGGAAGGGGAGAGGAAGGGAAAGAGAGGGGGGGTGGGGGTAAAGAGGCCAGGTCAAAGCCTAGGTCGATCTCAGCATGTAATCCTGGGGCAACAACACACTTGATTCAACACGTTATGTTATTGTCCAGAGTTTTATTATGGACAATAAGCATTTATGGGCGAACGTGGAGGCATAGAGGTATGCGCACAAGGGAAAGAGGGAGGAAAGGAAAACAATATATGCCCATCGTCGTCTACTTAGGCAACAAACACATGTGTATAGATATAAACGAACCAAAACGCACACGCAAAATTACAAGAGCATTTGCTTGCGTGTGACTGCGAAAAAAAAATGTAAATGAAGAAAGCAAAGTGAAAGTGAAAAATGAGGAAAACAAAAATTAAAGAAAATTGGAGAACGGAAAACTGTCATTATTTTTTCGATGCCTGGCTAAGGAAGACTTTTGTGAATTAATGAGTCACTGTCAAATTACTGAATGAATTAATGAGAATAGTAATAAAATAAAACAACTGATGGTGGTGAGGATGATGATGATGACGGTGGTGATGATGATGGTGACGATGACAGTGACGGTGGAAATTAATATAAAAAACGAAAAACAACAACAACAGTCACTCACGCATCCTCCCCCTCCCCCTGCACCCCTTCCCCCCCTTCCCGTCCATTACGAACCACGCCAAATGCCTTTTAGTGTGGACACGAGAGATAAAACTTAACCACCATTCACCTGTCGGCCGGGAAATCGCCACGGGGAAAGAGGAAGGGAAGGGAGGAAGGGAGAAAGGTCGGAGAAGGGGTGGTTTAAGGAAGGGAGGATGGAGGGGGAGGGAGAAGGGAGAAGGAAGGGAGGAAGGGAAGGAGAAGGGAAAAAGGAAGGAGGGTTAATGAAGAAAGGAGGAAGGGAAGGAGAAGGGAGGAAGGGAAGGAGAAGGGAGGAAGGGAGAGAAGGAGAAGGGAGAAGGAAGAAGGGAGGAAGGGAAAGAGAAGAGATGGAAGGAGAAGGGAGGGAGGGACAGTAAAAGGAGGTAGGGAGGGAAGGAAGGAGGCGAAGAGGAGACCCAAGGAAGGGAAAGAAAGAGAGGTGGGAGGGGGGGGGGGGGAGAAGGAGCTATTTAACCCCTCCAGTCTACCTCCTGTCTACGCAAGTTTTGACAAGTTAGGCGAAGGTCCAATAAATAAAAGGGAAAATTCAAACGATGTAAGGAGGTAAAACTAAAATAATAAATTCAGAGAAAATAGAAAAACAAACGACGAAAGAAAAAAAAAATAACAAAAGTTAATGGAAGAAATAATAAAAAAAAAACACATACGATATAAAGTAATGAAAGAAAGAAAACAGGAAAAAAACAGAAAAGGGGAAAAATATATTTTTTGACGTTTAAAAAAAATACTATAATCTTGTTTCCTATTCTAAATTGTAACTGATAACGCCTTTTTTAGTCTATTGTACTTTTCTTGCTAAATTCGTTAACGATTTTCTAAATCGCCACCCACGGTCTTTATCAAATTTAACATATTCTTATTCCCTTTACTTCATTCCTTTTTTTAAAGTCTTTCGCCCCCTCCCCTCTGTCTCTGTCTCTGTCCCTGTCTGTCTCTCTGTCTCTCTGTCTCTCTCTCTCTCTCTCTCTCTCTCTCTCTTTCTCTCTCTCTCTCTCTCTCTCTCTCTCTCTCTCTCATCTACACAATTTCCTCCATCTTCCTCATGGATCACTTTCTTCTACTCTATTTCCTTTTCGTTGTATTTTCCCCTTTCCTTTTCTCCTTCCACCTCATTCTTTTTATTACACTCTACGAAGAAAAATCTCTCTACTCTTTTCTAGCACCGGGAACCCCTTGACCAGTACCGGTATCCCAAATATCTTTCATTCCAGTACCGGTAACTTTTCCTCAGCGGTACCGGTATTTCTCACCAGTTCCTTCTAATAACACCCAAGCCTATTCCCGGTATCCCTGACTTGCTTCTGGTACCGGTACCCCTAACCCCCCTCTGTAGTACCCCCAATCCCCCAACCTCCTCTCTAACACCCCTCTGCAGTACCCCCAACCCCCTATCCCGTACGCCCCCCTCCCCCCCCGCTCGTTCTTCCTTCCCGACAAACACCTGTTCCGACGAGTGTTTTCCCGCCGGTGATCATGGGGGTCCTTCCTGCCTCCCCGTCACCCTCCCCCTCTCCCCTTCTCTCCCTCTCCCTCTCCCTCTCCCCCCCCCCACCCCGCCCTACCCTGTCCCCCGAGGCTTCGCCCGACGCTCTCATGATCTCGATTCGCGATAACATCCACAGGAGGCGCGACAGATGATAAGATGACGTACCTGCTCTTATTCCCTTCCCTCCTTTTTTTTCGCTCTTTTTTTTTGCCCTCCCTCTCCCTTTTCTCTTGCTTTTTGTTTTTGTTTTTCTTTTTCTCTCATTCGCATTCTCATTCTCTTTCTCATTCTCTCTCTCCCCCAACTTTCTCCCCGAGACTTTATGGTGAGGGAAAGAGATTATTACGGCGAAACGGACCGAAGACCAGAGTCTGTAGGGAGGAAAATAATAAAGAGGAGAAGAGAGGAGAAGAGAGGAAAAGAGAGGAGAAGAGAAAAAGCCAGAGTATGGAACGGATGAGGAAAATGCGGAAAAGACAGTGAAGAAGTACGGAGAGCTAATTTTCTAAGGGGAAAGATGCCAACACCACAGGAATGGGCAGCGGCTAGAACGTTGCAACTGGTAAAAGAAGAGTTCGGACGTATGGGCGTGCCTCCAGACTAAAAGCCTGGCTCCGGCGTGCCCGAAGAGAACGCACGAGGCGGGTACTCACCTCCGTCTTCCTCCGTCAGATCGATGAGCGCGTCCCGTGAGGATCTCGAGGATGCCGCTCGCGCCTCCAGGGGCGTGGGCGTGAAGGCGGGCGTGGGCATGAGAATGGGCTGGCCGTCGGGCGTGGTGGCGGGCGTGGACCAGTTCCGCCCGTGGGAGGGCTTGGGCGTGAGCGTGGGCGGGAAGCGGGGCACGGGCGCGCGCAGAGGGCCGGGAGGGCGCATGGTGTCCGGGCAGGAGCGCGTCCTTCCCCGCAGCACCGGCGTCCAGTCCTCGGGCGCTTCCTGCTTCTCTTCCGCGCCCTCCGCGACCTCCTCCCGGATGGCCTGGTGGTGGGCGGGGCGGCGGCGGGAGTGCGGGATGGCGATGGGCGGCGTCACGCCCACGCCGGCCTGCCCCGCCTGCTGGCTCCACTTGGGCTCGTCCTCGTCGCTGGAGAAGGTGAACGAGTGGGCGGACGAGGGCGAGGGCACGTAGCCCGAGTCGCGCCACGAGCCCAGCGAGTGCAGCGTCACCAGGCCGCCCGTGTCCTCCGCGGGCGAGGGCGGCGAGCTGGGGAACTGCGCGAGGCGGAGGCACGGCGCCCCCGCTCGGCCGA